CCTAAATGACATTAAACCACAAACTAATATATGACCATGACCATATATATATATATATATATATATATATGTTATTATGACCATTAATGACATTAAAGTTGGGAACACTCCTAATAGAGCACCACCCGGGAATGTATTGCATGCCCCACCGGTTACCTTGCCCCACAGGTAATCATCAACGTATTATGAGCCGCGAGCGAGTGACCATATATGGCATGTAGGGTTCAGTCAATATTCCCGCTGTAAGTAAAAAAACAATTTACGGTCCGCGATGTTTTCAGAAATCCAAGTAGAAGACATAGGCCAAGGACCGACCTGGAAAGATCACTCGTACTCGTAGCACGCGTAAGTGGAGAGCGAGATGTCAAATTAGTGCCATATGACACGTACAAGTCGCCCCGGTATCGTAGACAAGACAGTCAATTTCTTCCAGACAGAGTCATTTCCTCTCGGCGTCTGAAGGTTATATCAAAAGATGAGACATCATCCCGAAATGCCAACACGTATTTGAAGCAATCTGTAGTTTCTGGCCATCAAATTAGTAGTTCGAGGGTCACGTAGTAACCCGAGTTTGCTAGGGGGGTCCGGCATGCCCCCCGGAAAAAATTTTGATTCTGAGATGCAATTTCCTGCATTCTGAGGGTCAAAAATGACAATAAATTGACAAAAAATGACAATAATAAAAAAAAATTGATCACAGTGAAATTCGTAGTTTGATACAAACTGGTCGTAGTGGTGCAAAAGGATTAGAAATTCGTATAAAATACGGATAAATCGTAGTGGTTGGCATCTCTGCATCATCCAAAATAATTATTAACCTATCTTCTTCTTCTCGGGTTACTACACTACACTCCACCTAGCCACTGCAGCGCACAGGATCTGGCGCGGTAGTTGAAAACCTCAATGTCTCCAGGTCTATTAACCTATCGTATTTCGTTTTCCATTATTTATGCGACATACGATTTTTTACTGTTCAATGAATACAAAATAACTATAAAACGTACAGAAAATTTATCACGAAAATTGCTGGAGCGTGTTATGGATAATTCAGTTCCTGGTGTCGTCTTTCACGCTTATACGAGGCAGGTTGCCTACGTTTGGTTTGTATTCACATCACACAGGCAGTTCGCAATCCTTAAAATTATACAGAGATTGTAAAATTTACCTAGGGTTTTTACTTTGAAGCTAAACTATAGATTACTTGTGATACCTAACACTTTGATAGTGATCAACATAGAATAACACACAGGCACGCACGCACGCTCACACACACACACACGCACGCGCACGAACACACACACGCACACACACACGCACACACACACGCACACACACACGCACA